GCAGAGAGAGAGAGAGAGAGAGAAAGAGATAGAATGTGCCAGAGAGAGAGAGAGAGAGAGAGAGTTCACGATTATTTGTGATAGACCAAGGTTTCACGAACTGGGCAATACAGCTGACCGGTGAGTGAATTCAACTGTTGGGTGCATGATGAGGACTTGAACAGAAAGCTCTGGACGACTGGAGATTTTGGTGAGCAATGTAGGATTTCGAGTATTAAAAAGATATTCAAAGATATGCAAAGAACCTGCATAAAAAAACAAGGGGCTAAATAACTGGGACACATACCTAGATAAGCCATAAATATCCCCGCAGACAAGGGATATTTTGGTATTCTTTATAATTTGAGAAATACCATTAACATTCAAATAGATCTTCAGATGAAATAACATTGTTTTTCCGGATATAAATATTATAAGGGAAGACCAAGAATGAAAAAAAAATAATATTTGTTGAATTTTTATTATTTTCTTGTAGTGTATATTCTTTTTACATTTATAATTGTTATATACCGTACCTATGAAAACTAGGGAACATGACCCAATCCTCATAAATACGTTGGATACTATTGTAATTGGGGTAATATGCAGTCTATGTAGTCCACTACTAACAGTGGTTTACCTATTTCACGTCACTGGCGAGTATTATATTTTGTTGATGTTATAAAGATTACCATTTCATTTCAAACCTCTGTTTTGGTTATTCCTAATTCAATAAGAATTTCTAGGTTACATCAGTAATTATGGACAAAAATGGTTTCATTCTTTATCATTACTTGCAACGCTAACTCTAGCTATAAATGTAAATTATATATATATATATATATATATATATATATATATATATAAAGAAAGGTGGTCTGAGGATTGCATCTAGCATGAAACAGACTGTTCATTTATATATATATGTGTATATATATATATATATATATATATATATATATATATATATATATGTATATATATATATATATATATATATATATATATATATATATACTTTACAATGGTCAATTTTGTTTTCGTTTTTTCTTTAATCGAGGTTATTTGTTACCTTCTTTGGTATTTTCTCTCTTTATGTGCCGTGTCCCTTAAGGATGTAGACAATCATCGCTCTCATAACTTCCTGGTGTAGCTCTTAATAAATATTGTCTTTTTGTTATTTATTCGAAACACTGTTCCACCATCCATTTACTCAAGCTCACTAAGTAGGTTATGCGTTGTTTTCCTCAGACTTACTTGCCTTCAATTTTTATTGTGAGTGCAAGATTTTCTGAGCCCTCTTTCCACATCAAACGCCCTAGAAATTTTAGCTGTCTCTTCCTGATGTTAAGTATATGTTTCCTTTTGCTTACCGTTACTCAAATGTTCGATCAATGGCATCCTCAGAATTCTTCTGCAGAACCACATTTCTGTTGATTCAAGTCTCTTCTTCGTTTACAACAAAGAGCAACAAAGAAATTGCGGAGAGCCATGATCGCCTACGTCCTGAAGGGACGCGACGCATGGAAGAAGAAGAAAAAACGTTTACCAAACAATTTTAGTACGCTTTAGAATACTTACTATATGAGTTAGCGGTGAATTTTTTTTTCCATGTGAGAGTGAATGATAACGCAAAAATGGTTGTGAACACCTGTGCCACACCCACCTGCGTGGAAGACTGTCGTCAGAAGAATCCAAGCAATAATGTAGTTAATAAAGACTTAGAGTAGACAAGTGTGGAAAATACCCCTTAATATTCAACCATAAAAAATGACACACGTTAAAATTCGAAGTAAGCAAGGCTTATTTAAGGAAGTGCTTTGATGCAATCAAGAATATATATTGAAATTTTGATGTGATCGAGTATATATATTAAGTATTGTTATAATGTGTTATTTTCACCATATGATTTAAACTTAAATTTTATTTCTTCTGGTAAAAATAATAGCATAAAATCTAACAATTTCCCTTCCTATATTAAATATTATCATTTAATACCTGTCAATTTACTACGTTACCATATATATTTTCCCTTTTCCTGTTATTCATTGTGTCTCTTTAGGATGCTAGTGATTATGACTCTCCACAATTACCTGTATTTTAGTAAGTTTTGTCTTTTTGCTATCTCTCTTAAACCTTGTCCAGCAACCATTTAACCAAGTATGTTAGGAAGTTTATGCACTGTTTTCCACCATCACCCTTGCTTTCAGAATTTTTTATTCGTCGGGAGGTATCAGCAGTTGACTGTCGATTTTCTCATTATCGCTATTTTTATATTCAGTTAAAAAATAATTTATGCGCTATTTATTAGTGTTAGTTTGATTTATTTTTTATTTTTTGTCTGTATATGTATGTATGCTTATAAGTGTATGCGTCTACGCGCGCATTCGTGCGCGTGTATTGTGTGTGTGTGTGTGTGTGTGTGTGTGTGTGTGTGTGTGTGTGTGTGTGTGTGTGTGTGTGTGTGTGTGTGCACGTAGGTGCATGTGTAAAATGCCGTGGTTATTTCACATTTTAAACATTTTCTTGTCTCGTTATGCACCCTTTTCTTTCTTTTTTTCTCACTTTAAGACACACACAGCCTATATATATATATATATATATATATATATATATATATATATATATATATTGTTTTAAGGCCTGCTAGATTTATGGGATAAAGTGATCAATATCAGAGATAAAGCGTATGTAAATATAAAAGCGAACAATGATGTCAACACTTAGAAGTGACAGATTGTTTCATGCGAGACGCAATCGTCAGGTTGCCTGTCACCTCTGAGTGTTGAGGTGATATATATATATATATTAAGTCACGTCTCATTAAATAATTTAGACAAGTTTTGTCTACTTATTTTTAATATGATCGTCGCATAATTACGGACAAGTTTCTGAGTATCCTTATAAAAGGATGAAAGAAAATTGACATGTTGAGGCAAATTCATTTTATTTCGAGTACCTTTGACATTAGCACATTGTCGTCGTCAGGGTCTTGTTTTTTTGTTTTTGTAAGGGACGTGATCTGGGGTATATGGTAGCTGTTGGACGAGGGGAATGTTGTCCTTAGCCAAAAACTGCTGCATAAGCCACCCTCACCGCTGAAACCTCTGTAGTGTGTTAAGAGGACCGCTACACGCTTTCCTTCCAATCACTGCTATAAACAACGGAAACGAGATCGTTATAATTTAGTATGCATGCGCGACAGAGTTCAAAGGTCAATTTATGCCTTGCGGCTTTACTCTACTTTTGCTCTGTTACCATAGTATGGAGTATATATATATATATATATATATATATATATATATATATATATATATATAGTGTGTGTGTGTGTGTGTGTGTGTGTGTGCGTGTGTGTGTGTGTGTCTTAAAGTAATTTTAAATGAGGTATGTAATTTATTTTTAAAAAGAAAGGTTGGAAAAAAACGTTTAAATAATGATTAAAATGAAATTGTATACTATACACCTAATTATGTTTTTTTTTTTAGAGTTCTTTGGCGGACTTCTCCTGGGTCGACATCTTATGGGAGGAATTTCGCTTGAACCAAGAAAAAATAGGTTTACAATAAAGAATGATCAATAAAAAGAGAAAGCTGAAAATGAATATTTATGCGCATGCGTGATAAGAAGGTGAAGACGAGATCAAAAATTTTCAATTAAATATTTTCAGTCTATTCAGTATTTTTCTTATAAAAAAATTACAGTCGATACATTCTACAGCTCTTCACACTTAATTTTAAATGAGATATCAACGTAATAATATAAATTTATATAACTATACACACACTCGAACGGAGTGTGCCACAAGACCAAGATAAATGTAGGAGCCTGTCTGTACATAGACGAGGGAGAACGACTGCTCAAGCCTCAGGTACCATTTAATGACCCTAGGCCCATCATAAATTACTTTATGAGTACGCTACCATGAAGTTTCAGAACGTTATTTTAAATTGCAACATGTCAGTAAAGAGTAATAATGAAAAATTTGGAGTTAGATTTGAAATTGCATTTTATATCATTTATTTTATATCTTCGGTCAAGTTAGCGCTGTCATTTATGAGTCTATCACGCCAACCATCCGGTCCTGCTTCAAGGTCGAAAGGTCATGAAGGAGAGATTCTGTCATAGCATAGCTGCTCAATATAGATGGTTGCTGGACGACAAACTCGTCTTGCTGGATGGCTAGGTATCCTGTAGATCACTCACGGGTTCTTGATTTGTTCGCCAGAGCTGTCCTGCAAAGCGCATTCTGAGTTCGCGAAAGATTGTAGAAATATCAGAGATGAGTCCGTAGAGTTGTGATTTTGTTGGATGTTGTCTCCAGCAGATATTACATATAGCTGTCAGCATCTGAGTGTGAACTGTTTTAGGTGAATCAATTAAATCTGACGAGTCTTTTACATACCTAGGAAGCGAAATAAATTCTACCGAAAAGGATGTGAAAATTAGCATAGCTAAAGCCTGGGCTGCCTTGAATAAAATGGCTATAATCTGGAAATCTGCTCTACCAGACAACCTCAAGCGGATTTTTCTTTCGAGCCACTGTAGAGGCGATGTTAATGAATGGTGCCACTGTCTAGACATTAACCATTAATATCATTTAGCAACACTCAAAACAATGGCAGAACATTCATTTCTATAATACTACTTTCAAGGTGAATATCTTTGTTATAAATTCTGGTAATAGAAATGATATAAAAATGCCTGAGGGCACTTATACAATCAAACTGTTCGTCTCGCAAATCACTTCGTACGATTTATTTGTTTTGTTTTATAACTTATAACCCATTGCAAGTTCTTTAAAGCCCCATACTATTCTTATTGTAAGAGTATATTAAGATAATAATGATTTATTGATACAAGTCCTACTAATTAACCCATAGCTGGGGGGAGAAGAGATGGATTCATAACATTCACTAAGGTATTTCCGCTTAAGTAAATATAACGAACCCGACTGGAATTGGAGCTCTCGAATTTTCAATTTTGAGTTGTTATCCATTACACCACCCGAACATCTAAACTTACAACACGTGGTATTTCTAAGCAATCATCAATCTAGGTACTGATCAGGCTCGACGTTGCTTAACTTCGATAATCGTACGAGAACTGGTGTTTCAACGTGAGATGACCGTAAGCCAAGTCATTTTGTATGTATTGTGTATTTGAAACTCCCTAGATGCTTAACTACTATGCCTCTGTGATTAACTTTAGTATACTAAATATTTGGCCTGCCTGTTGGCCTTCAAAGATGTCCAAACAAAGTCCTTTATAGTTGGAAGTTTGGCAAAATGGAATCTTCCAACTGTCATTCCCAAACCCCAGATAGGAACTTGATCTATTTCTTTTACTTCAGTGCATCCGAATTAAGTCCCAGGGGCCAGTCAAAAATATAGCGGGTTACGGAGTGGGTTTGTTGTGAGAAGGAATATATTGGGTTGGTGCATAATTATCAGGCGTTTTAAAACAATATTATGAGAAAAAAAAAACATGACAATTCAATATTATTATTTTTAAATGATTATAGACACGCATTTTTATAACCTGAAAATAAAATATTTATTTAAAAAAGTAAACAAAACATCATGTATTTTATTAAAAAATAACTCACCAACAAAAACGCCTGATAATTATGCACCAACCCAAGGAGGTTGCGTTGGATAGATAATTGTTGGACCTGGTTAGAGTTTAATTCTAGGAAGTCCATACCGCAAAGTTTCATTGTCTGGGGAAGACATTGGAAACAGAAAGGAGACTTATACAGTTGAAATTTCTAGGGTCCTACCTCGTCGTTAATTTTGTCTTTTCACTATCTCTTCTAAACTTTGTTCTGCCATCCATCTACACAAGCTCTTTAGGTAAGTTATGCACTGTTTTCCTCTGTCTCTCTTGCCTTCATCATATCCTTTGAGTGTCCAATTTTCTAAGCTCGCTTTCTTCATTATGGGTCCAAGAAATATCAACTCTCTCTGATCTTCTGTGAATGTTTTTAGGGTGTGGGGACGAGGATAAATTTGTCTGTGTGTATGTATGCAAATATTTTACTAAGCGTTCACCAATTTTTTTTTTTTTAAGCATTTAACCCCAAGCAAGGTTGAAGTGCCACTAGCACGCAAGGCGTTACAGGAAGTGAAAATTAGAATAAAGAGGGGAGTTTGAGGAAACGATAAAGAGAAGGACGAGGATCAACATAAAGGTATTAGAAGATGGCGATTGACATTACATTTGAATATTTGAAGATTATATCTTTCAGCGAAGAAGTGATTTCCACTGTCAGGAAGTGCGAGAGAAGAAGCTGTTGGAGTAGAAGAGGGGGTTATATTTAACTGCTTCGACAGTGAAAAGGTGGGACCGAGATGCCAGCCTAATAGCACGCTTAAATTCTGGGGCACCAGTGAATATAGCTCGTCAGAGCAGATACCATGAAAATATTTGTAGAAAAGACAGAGGAAGACACATCACGTCTGTAAGAAAATGACTGGGGTCGAGATGACAGGTCAGAACCTATTAACTCGAAATTTCATTTTGGGAATCCTTTTTAGAGCAAATTTTGAACCTGTCATGCTATACCTTATTTTTCTTACGAGTAGAAAGTTTGCAATCCACCAGTCCTACAAATCCCCTATGTAAATCATTCCTCAAAATCATGAATTTTACCTGGTTTTCGATATCTTGTTCCTGTAGCTGTAGCAAATATGGAATTATCTCTGCCAGAAAATAAATATGTTTTTACTATTGTTGACCGGGAGACACTCAAGGTAGAGGTTAACTAAATGAGTTTATTGTAAGGACATACATGGTAGGAGCAAGTGGTGCATATTATGAAGTTATGTCGGATAGATAATGGTTGACTTTTGACTTGAATTGGTTAAGATTGTAAATGATTGGGGAAGCATCTTTCAAGAGTCCGTTCCACAACATCAGTTCTGTGAAAGAAGCTGTCAGAGTGGAACTTGCACCTCACTAATGGGATATGTAGGAAATAAGGATGAATCAACTCATTGTAAGTGGCCTGGTGGGTCATAGTTGTGATGATCAGTACTGATGACACCAAGAAATGTAGTTCGCCCGAACATCAGCCATGAAAATATCGAGTTATATACAATATTACCGTCTCGTTTATAAGTCGACAGCTCCAGGCTGATACATGTCCTGTGTAAAGACGATAAACTACATTTAACAGCAAGGCCTCTGATCAGGAGGTTTTGAAGAGCGTGGAATCACCTTTTAATTGCTGGTGCTCCCAGGTCCACTCTGACACGGGGTGGTAACACCTGTCAGGGTCCCAGGTATAGACAAATAGTTAACCCCACCAAAAGGGTCCAAAATACTCTGAAAGTATAAAAATAGGTTTTAGCAGTACTTTGGTGGGGATATTACCAGCATTATATTTTTAGGAAAAAATATTACCAGCAATAAAAATTTTGTCCGCATTAAATGACCAATTGAGGTTGACATGCCGTAAAACAAAACAAACCAAACCAAGCTAATATGGAATAAGTTCTACTGCAGTCCCTAACAGTG